CATATCTCAAATTGTGCAGAGAATGTGCTGAATTTAGATTGGCCATGGGTTAGATGCCCTGGAAGGGGAGGGAAGAAGTGTTACTGGCTTGGAGGTGGATGGTTTGCTGCAATGGTTGAGGCTGGAAGAGTGGCCAAGAAGTGTAAGTAGACAGCTAAAAACACACAGTCTTGTTACAAGCTCAAGAATCCTTAGGCACTAGTCAGCCCATGGTGGGGGCCTACCAGAAGGTAGAAGAAGTACAGGAACCAGAACTCCTTGAAGTTGTCTCTGATTCTCTTTCTGGCTCCACATAAACTCAACAAGATTTGCCATGTGGGGCTGTGAAAGAGTCCTGAACCTGCACCCTGAGCCCTGAATTGGTGTGGAGATTATATTCTATATGGCATACCCCTTATGTCTGAAAGATAAAGCAAGAAGGAGGGCTTGGAACTAAAATTTTAGCCCTAGATGGAACTTTAGAGATTGTCTAGTACCAATCTACTCATTTTATAGAGGAGAAAAATGAAGCCAACTGTTTTAAGGTCAGACCAGTTAGTGGCAAAACCTGAACTCCCAGATAGTTCTTTCCACTGCTCCACGCTGTCTCTGTTTTTTGCCTCCAGGCAATAACATGTAATTATCATCATTAGCATTTGAAATTTTATCTGGTTTTTACTTCACTAAATTTCTTATAATCTGTATAATTATTTCTATTAGTAACTCTCTAAGAAGATAAAGGTAAAGATGAATTGCCAATCTGTATCGGTAGAGGGAGTTTTTCCACAAGAAGCTCTGTATACTGATGAAATTGAAGTTCCAGATTTAAAAAATATAACTCAAAGCATGGTCTAGCTATGAAGATAGATGCCAAAGTGGACAATACAGAAGTAGTAGATTACCTGGAGAACCAAGTCTTCTTGTGACATTGGTTAGATTGGGAGATGGGGAAGGGAAGAAAAGCCTTGTCCTACTACAACAGTATTCATCAATTGGATACTCAATGAGTATTGATTTCAGCTCTGCAGTGGCCTTGGAAAGAGTCTCTAAGACTAAAAGACAACCTTCCTGTCCTTGAGGAGCTATAGTCTGATGGAGGGATGAGAAAAACATGCACATTTTACCCACATGCTATTTGAATGGATCTGTTATCCTTTGTATCCACAACTTAGCACAGTTCCTTCTACATAGTGGGCACTTAAGAAATGTTTGTTGAAATTGGGTTATCTCCAGTGTGGGGGATTCTAAGCCATCATTCACCTTCACTTTCTCATCTATGTAATTGTTGTCAATGTCTTTCCATAGAATCTTCATGGAAGATCTATCCAATAGACTGAAGGCTGTCTTCTCGTTCCTTTAATATCTCTGGGATACCAGTACAGCTTTTAAGCTGCCAATCTCTTATCTCTAGTTCCTACTGTGACCTCCTTTTCCTATTTTGCATGTCATCAAAGACACCTTTTATACCACTACTCATGCTCCAGTAATCATTGGCCAATATGTAGCCAGCTTTCACTCACCCTGCATCCTTCTGTTGCCCCCTTGGGTCAGTTACAGTTTTGAGTTTTCTCAGATCATCTCAGCCATACAGCATAACCTGGTACAAATTAGAGTTCAAGAGATGGGCCTTTAGCAGTAATACAAGGAATAAAGACACAGCCAACCACAGAGATACTGAAATGTATATGGAGAGCTACTGTACATATGTGCTGAATGAGTATGATGGACATGGTTGGGGGTAGGAGAAAGGGAGAAAGAATTACAGGGCATTGAGTATGGTTTACATGTCACAGTCATGGATCAAGTCTCTGATATGGAGAGGAAGGAGCTAGAGGGTGGCTAGGCTCAATAGTGTGGACATCTAAGGTCTCCTCAATGATGTATCCCTAGGGATCAATTATTGAGCTGAGAACACTTTAAAATGCTCTTATTCTTGTAGTTGGAGAACAGTGTCCAGAGCTAGGAAAGCTACTCCTACAAAAATTTCCAGAATCATTGGTCACAGACCAAGGGATCAGAAAGATAGGAGGGCAGAAACCTGGCCTAATGGGAAAGGGGGACTAGGTCCATTAGCTGTGGTTCTTAACTTACTACCTGATAATTCCTCTTGAGCTTGCTCTAGATCCTGTTCTGGGTCATGGTATTTCCATTTCTGTCACAAATTGAGAACTGGAAGGGACTTTAGGGAGTATTTCAACCAACTTTCTCATTTAATAGATGAGGCAACTGAGGCCCATAGAGGTTAGCTGACTTGTCCAAGGTCACCAAGGTATCAAATAGGGATTTGAATCCCTATCCCAAGGTCACAGATTGAGAGTTGAAAAGGGTGCCTTAGAGAGCATCTAGTGACTATATTCTAGTTCAATGCCCCCATGTTATAGATGAGGAAACTGAGGCCCAGAGAGGATTAGAGTCCGAGTCCAAGGCCAAGGCCAAAGAAGTAATAAGTGGCAGTAATGGGATACCTAGGTCCTCTAAAAGGTTAATTTAGTACTTCTTCTATTACACTACAGCACCTCATCAAAGAAGTAATCCTACCTTACCACTTTTTGGAAGGTTTAGTAGATTTGGAGAAAAAAAGAAGGCCCTACTATCTAAAGCATTTTCTTTCTCTTCAGTGCTCTTCAAACTATAAAGCAATGAATAAATATTTATAAGGTATTATTTGTAATTGTATCCCCATAGTACAGATGAAGAAGCTGAGGCAAAAAAGGAGGTGCCTCAGTGGGCAAAGACAGAGGCAAGATTAGAAGCAGGACTGCTACCTGGTCTTCAGCACTCTGAGGCACAGAATCACAGCATTTTAGAGCTGGGTGGGACCTCAGCAACTATCTAACTCAACACTTATTGGTAAGGAATATGAACCATCACATACCTGATAAATGGTATGCTAGTCCACACACCTCCAGAGGCAGCCCATTCCCCTTTTGGATACCTCTGATCAGGAGTGTGCTGGTAAAAAAAAATTTTTTTAAGGTAATCAGGGTTAAGTGACTTGCCCAGGGCCACACAGTTACTATGTATCTGAGACTGGATTTGAACTCAAGTCCTCCTGACTCCAGCACTGGCGCTCTATCCGCTGTGCCACCTAGCTGCCCTGTGCTGGTAAATGTTAAACAACCATTTAACTGAGGGGAAATGCGCCCGTGATGCACTTTAAAATTTTAATCTGTACCATTAACATTTTCTCCATCACTTTAAGTCTATATGATAAACAAAACTGTAAATCAAGCCCTGATATATAGAATTAGCCAATTTCCAAGGTAAGAATGCTCACACTAAAAACTTAACAATTGGCTCACAGGTTCAAGCTGGCTTTAGCACACCTCTTTAATTGTTAGGAATTGTTTCTTGACATCAAAACTCTTTACAATTTCTGCCTCACCGCCCCAGGTTCTGCTCTCTCATATCCAGCAAAACAAATCTAATCTCTTTTTCATATCACAACCCTTCAAACATTTGAACAAAGCTGTCAGGTTTTTTGTTCTTTGTCTTCTCTTCTTCATTTCCTTCAATTGATCCTCAAGGCCCTTCACCATCCTGCTTACCCTCCTCTGGAAGCTATCCAGTTTGTCAGTGTCCTTTCACTCAGAGCCCAGAACTGAACATGCTATTCCACATATGATCTGACCAGAGAAGATATTATCATCTTCTTATTCTGGAAGCTATGCCTTTCTTAATATAGCCCAAGGTCACATTAGCTTTATTTGGCTATGGCATCATACTGCTGACTCATAATTAAGCTTGGAGTCTACCAACCTCCCCCTACCAAACCAGATCTTTTTCAGACAAACTACTTTCTAAACATGCTTGGCCCCCCCATCCTGTACTTCTAAAGTTGATTTTTGAACCCGAGACTAAGACTTTACATTTACTGAATTTCATCTTATTAGATTCAGGCCAATATTCTAGACTGTGATGATCTCTCCAGATTCTGACTGCCATTCAGTGTGTTAGCTATCCCTCCCAGCTTTGTGTCATCTGCAAATATGATAATGATGACATCCATACCTTTATCCAAGTCATTGATTAAAAAAAATATAAATTAAGTAGCACAGGGCCAAACACAGATACCTGGGGCACACAGCTAGAGGCTTCCTGCCAAGTAAACATTGAACCATTAAAAATTTTACTCTTTGAGTCAGACAATTCATCCATTTCTGAATCCATCATGTAGGCCACATCTCTGTCTTTTCTACAAGAACAATTTAAGACATTACACGAAATTCTTTGTTGAAATCAAAGTAAACTACATCTACAGCATTCCTTGATCTACTCATTTAGTAACCCTGTCAGAAAAGAAAATGAGGTTAGTCTGGCATGACTTGGTTTGGATGAAACCAGGCTGTCTCTTTGTAATCATCACTTTCCTTTGGCTCAATAACTGTCTCTATAATCATCTCTTTAATGATCCATTCTCAAATTTTCCCAGGAATTGAGTCAAGCTCACTGGCTTACAGTTTGCGGACTTTATTAGCTTCCCCCCCCCCTTTTTTTCCCTCAAATTTGGACATTTTTTCCAGTCCTGCAGTACTTTGCCCATGACCTTTCAGATATTCCTGACAGAAGCTCGGTAATAATATCTGCCAGTTCTTTCAGGACCCAAGGTGGTAGTTTATTTAAGCCAAGTGACTTGAATTTATCAGAGGCAACTAGTCACTCTCTTCCTGGGTCCCCCTGCTCCCTCCCTACAAGCTTGATGTATTAGAAGGAAACACACACACACACACACACACACACACACACACACACACACACAAGCATTTGCTCCGTGGTCCCATGGGGAGTTTTGCTATCTCCCTCTTCTCTGGAAAAGGGTCAGGCCAACTCTAACCCTGACAGCCTGCACCCCCAATCCCCTCCTGTGGGGGAGGGCTCTTCAGTGACTTCCTATACTCAGAATTGCGCCTTTCCCTGTGATTCCCTCAGGATTACAACCTGGGGGGCGGGGCGGGGTGGTTTGGGGAAAACATAGGAGAGACAGCGCAGTCGAGATGGGGAGGGAGGAAGCAGGGGAGGAGGAGGAGGGACCCTTCTCGGCTGCGCCTATAAGTCGGAGAGAGCGCGGGCTGTGAGCTGAACAGTCTCCCAGCCCGGGCCCTGAGGGCGAGTCGCTGGGGAGAGAACTGGTAAGGCAGCGGCCCCGGGGGCAGTAATGCGGGACTCTCGGGACCCGGCTGGGAAGAGCCGGCGTCGATTAAGGCGGGTGACTGGGCCAGGGGAGCTCCTGGCAGCCTGCTGGGGGGAGCTGTCCGCGGTGCTGGAGCGTGCGGCGGCGGCGCCGAGCTGAGCTGGAAGCCACAGAGCTCTAGCCCACTGGGGAGAGGCGGGGGCACCCGGAGACGAGAGGACCATGCCTGGATTGCGGCTCCTGGGTCCCGCGGAGGCGGGAACCTACGCCAATCGCCAGGTAAGGGACTGTCCTGGGGCGGGGCGGCTAGCTGGACTGGGAGACACGCATGAGGTGAGCGGCTTCGCTTGGGGGCGGCGGCGCGGCAGGGCGGGACAGCGCTCCGGACCAGAGGAGACTCTTGCGGGTCCTCTTTCCTTTCTGGATCCCCCACCCACCCCCAAACCCTTGGGAGTAAGATAGTCTGGCCAGGGAGCGGTCGAGGGGGGAGCGGAGACACACATAGAGCCAAGATCTGGCACCCCGTCCTCAGTCCAGGACTCACCGAGTGACCCGGGTAGGATACCTCCTGACCCAGACCCAGACCCGGCTAGGCTCACTGGCAGCCATTTAGACAGGTCAGATGTAGACCCTAGCCCTTGTCGCTCCTTCCCACCTCCCCCTTTTCTATCATTTCGGAGTAGGTGGTGGAAGACAGGAGGGAGAGACAAGAGAGACAACGACATACAGAGAAAGAGAAAGGAGAGAGCTTCCCACACTCTGAATCCTTTCCCCTTTTCTGATCTCCCAGTGCCTGCCTTCAGAGTCGTAGAGTCTCTAGCTCCCTTAGAGCCCTCTGAGACCGCTGTCCCCTCTTTTGCCCTCCCAAACCCGGAATAGCTAAGTGCTCCCCAGTCATGTCACCTTTCACCCCAACCTGACCCAGCTGGTCAGGAAAATGGTTAGGGCTTGGTGCTTTTCTCCTGGAGTGTGATTCCTATATATCCCCAAATGTCACCTGCAGGAGCAACGCAGGAGGCCAGTCCTATTAAGATTTACCCATTTCTCAGCAGGAGAGCTAAGACATGGACAGATCTAATCTTAACGCTTTCTCTTCAACACTCCAAAATTGTCCTTTCTTTCAAGAAAACTAACTTCACACTAGCTCTTCTAGTAAACTGGGAAGCGAAGCGACGGGTGAATAAGGTAACTGTTAACGATTAGACATCTATTTGCTGTGTGATGCTGGGCAAATCACTCAACCTCTCTGTGCCACAGTTTTTCCCTTTAAGTAATAAAGAAGGACTATCTAATTCTTCCTCTTTCCTTTAGGTGTGGTAAAATTGAATGAACATATGCCTACAAAATCTTTGAGTTCTTCAGACAGGCTCACTATGTAGACAAAAGGTGGATTGTCAGAATGTTAATTACCCCTCTCATAGAACAGTGGCACCCCTGCTTTGGTTTGGTAACTCTTTTAGAACTCCTCACCCTCCTCCAACACAAATCAAGCTTACTTCCTTTACCCCAAGGATTGAACAGCCCCTCCTCCTGTGTTTCTGCTCTTCCTCTCATAGCATGCTCTTTTTAGTTCTACAACTGAATCCAAGGGGAAAGCATGGTCCAAGTAGGATATTTGGAACTTGGGGTGGGGGGGAGTACTGTCTGGGATTAAATTTGTGGTCCTGAAACAGAAAATCTCTATTAGTCCAATGTAGAATTTCACTTCCTAGACAACCTTAGAGGACCAGAGGGATTTGTTTTAACTGTGGTCCCAGAAAATGTGGCCCCAGTTCACATTCTGTGTATTGAAACATGATGATATTCTTTTAGCTTAACACTGTCTAGGATCACTGTATTGCTCTGACACATTTATATGACCAGGTCAGCAGCTTAAGTTTAGCTAAATTTAAGGGAAAGAAACATTAGTGTAGTGGGAAGAGTACTGAAGCTATAAGATGCAGAAGATGGGGTTCAATTACTAGCCCTACCATTTACTTGTGTGACTGTGGGCAAGTTACTTTATCTCTCTTGACCATCTCCCCTGTCCCAGTTATCAGCTCCACTCACTTTGATTTGTTCACTAAGGGATAAATTATTTGCAGGTTGACACTAGAGTTCCCAAGAAAATTGTCCATCTGAAGCCTTACCTTAAAATTTTGAAATATCAGACATACTTTAAACATTGGATCAATAATAACATGGACAATTTCCAGGCAAGGTGTTCTGGTCAGTGCCAACCTTGCCTTCTCCTCACTTAAATTACTATTGATCCTTCTGGTTTAGCAAGAATCTGTAAAACCAAAATTTCAAGTGGGGTAGGGTATCATAGGGAAAAATTTGCTCTGGAAACCCTGTGTTAAGGCATTGATGAGGCCTAGTCCCTGGATCTGTTCTCTACCACTAACTACACATGTAACCTTGGGCAAGTCACAATAGCAGGCTTCTCTGCACCTCAGTTTCTTCATTTGTGAAGTGGAGGAGTTGGATTAGATGATACATCAGGTGCCTGTGAACTGTAGCATTCCTCAAGAGTCTCTTTGAAGTTCCTCTGATTCTATAGATTCCCAAGCCTACCCTGCCTATACAAATTAAACATAGATTAAGAGTAGCTTTTTAAACTCAGTCTTAAGAGTCAGTTGATGTTATTTCATTGAGTAATTGGGTTGTCTAAAAAAGAACAGAAAGGAATTATAGGCTATAGAAAAGTAAATTACATTCCTACTGTTTTCCGCTACTTCCTTGGAGTAACTTACCAAGAAAACCATCAATATCTTGAATGAAGCTCAGAGATAAACGATGGGTCTTGACTTGGAGAAATTAGAGGGAAGGAGGACCTTGTACTTAGATGTGGTCTCGTTACCTTGCTCTTAAAGCTATGGTGATGCAAGTAGAAGCCAAATAAACCCCCCAACCTCAGCACATCTGGGAGCCAAAGGCTGGCCTCGAAGCAATTAGCTTCATTTTCATAAGGACCTCATCTCAATCTCAGGCTGGATGGGGTCCATTTTTCCAGTCAGAGAGGGCATGAAGAATGGGGAAGGAGAAAGAAGCGATTACTCCCTAGGGAGCTCTCCTCAGAAAAAAAAAATAAATTTCTTCAATAATAATTCCATAAGAGAGTGGCAGGCCTTGCCAGTCACTCAAACTGTCATTAATTGGTGCTGGGGTAGTGCTGAGTAAGCCATACGGTTGACCTCCCCAGTTGTCCTGCCAGAACATGTCCAATGTCAGGGAACCAGACTCCCCCATGCTTTCCCACTATCAGCCCTTTCTGATTTACAGCTTTCCATGTAGAGCTGTTGAGAATAAGATTTCCCTCAGTTAATGGAGAGTCACTAACCCTTTGCAACAAAGCAGCAGCAAGAGAAAGTCAAAGGTGCTGGGCCTTATTTTCCACATGGTCAGTCTTTAGAGAGATTGCCTGTAGCTAGCTGGCAATAAGGGAGCGGGCTATTGCTGTCTTTCTTCTGCAGGCAAGGCAGAGAGAGCACCGGTTGGAACTGGCAGGATGAGGGGCACCTGTAATAACTGCCCCAGATCCAAACCTGCTCATTTCCTAACCATCAACAATGAAAAGCTTAGCATTTCTATAGAGAGAAAAAGACAGTGGCAGAGATCATCTAAGGACAACTGCACATTACTAAGGCCTTACGTTTGTATAACATTTTACATTTTACAAAGTGTTTTCACACTCCTTTTATAATTTGATCCTTGTGAGATAGGCAGGGCAGATGCTATCCTCCCCATTTTACAGATGAAAAAACTGAGGCTTAGAGGTGTTTTTTTAATGATGTGCCCAAAGTCACCCAGAATGATATCAGATCTTAAACCTTCTGATTCTTAGCCCAGTACTCTTTCCCTTAAACAATGCTGAGATAAAGAGCTGATATATGTATCTTATTGGAGGGACAGACCATGTCCTCTTTCAGAGGGAAAGGATCATTGTTAGGAAAAAGACACTGCCTCTGTCTCTGGGTGAAAGAAGGTTGCTGAATTCCCCAACCCTGCTGCTCTTTCCATTTTCCTTCCTCTGCAAGGAACTTAGTTATTATCCCACCTAGGACATAGGCCTCTGGCCTCACAGAAAATTGTTTTCCTGACCCTAGTATAGCCACTGGGGTTCTCCTTATCCCTCTTTCTGTTTTCCTTTATCTCTTTTCCTCCCCTCCTCCCATTTCTCCCTCTGTCACATCCTCTCTCTTACCCTATGGGCCTGATGTGCTATTTCCCACCATTAGATGCGCCACTCTGCCTTTAAGTGTTTGGGAAGGAACTGCTTCAGTGGAAAAACAAGGTTTTTATCAGTGAGAATAAAGATTTGGTGACTGCTTGGAAATTGATCAATTTGACTAGTGAGTGTACATGGCGCCACTTTTCCCAAGCTCCAAGCAACTTCACCCCTGTCAATTCCAGGGCTCGCCTGGGAAGGCCCCCCCCCATCTTGGAGGGGGGGGCATACCTATGCCCATTCTCCAGCATTGATTATAGGGATAGGAACATATGAATTTCTGTTAAAGGGGATTTAAAAGATCATCTAGCAAAGGGGTTCTTAACTTAGTATCCATAGCCCCCCCCCCAAGGGGTCTGTAAATAGATTTCAAAGATTCCATGAACATGAATGGGGGGAGGAATCACACGTAAAATCAACAAGTATTTATTAAACGCCTAAGTACCAGGCACTATGCTAAGTTGTTGTTATTTGTCCTTCATGTTTGAAGAGGCCAAGATGACATCATGATGTCAGGGTCAATATACAGTGTGTCCGGCTGTGGCTGACATATCAATATGACCTCAGAAGGCTCTACCACAGGCTGGGCACAAGTGCTAAGTGCTGGAGATACAAAGAAAAACACCTCCCTTCCCCCCAAAATAAAAGCAGCCCCTATTCTCTAAAAGCTCACAGTCTAATGGAAGAAATAACATCCAAACAATTATGTACAAATAAAGCAGTAGGAAGGGGAGTTCAGAGTGAAGGTTCTAAGATTCAGGATGACTGGAAAAGGCTTCTTGCAGAAGGTGGAACTAGTTAAGATTGGAAAGACTACAGGGAAGCCAGGAGTCGGAGATGAAGAGGAAGAGGGCAGCCAGTGAAATGTTTAGTTGGGAGATGCAGTGTCCTTTTTGAGGAATAACAAGTAGGCCAGTATCACCAAAGAGTAGCAAATGTGGGAGGGAGTAAAATACCAGAACACTGGAAAAGTCGCTAATCTTCAATTGGAAGTAAGAATTTCCTTCAATTATTTAAAAACATTATTTTGAGAAGAGGTCCATATGCTTCATCATAATGCCAAAGGGGC